CCTTGGTTTTTATTATTTCATTTTTCAGTTCCAGTAACAGAAGCTGAATCCCAGCTTTTGGGGTCTCCCTTTTAAACGTCTTGGCACTGCATTACATTTAGACTTCAGTAAGTGTCTCCATGCCTAGCCATGCACAGGGTATGGCACTGCTCTGTTTACAGGCAGAAGGGGACTTCATAAAATAGCTCCTCAATGTAAAATGCACCATTTACCCAGAGGCACCCTCTAAAACAGATGTGTGACAAATAGTCACAGGCAGGCAGATGATGATAATACTAATAAACCACTATACTTATTCTCATCGTACCTTGTAAAATCTGTTTGCTGGATCCAGCCATCCCTTCAAGAGAATGGTCATCTGCAAAGACAATTATTGGCAAATTAACCTACACAAAGGCTCTCTCTAGTGGTATATTTTGTTATGGTCTTTATTTCTGAAATTTCTTGAACAGACAAGCTGCTCACAATGACTTTTACTGTAGCTATTGTTTTTTAATGCAACAATTAAGTTAAAAGTCTTAATACTTTTTAAAAAAGAAAATACAACTTTATATATATATATAAAATCTATTGTATAAAAAGATCAACACTTGTTTTCTAATGAAATCAAACTGAAAAAGAAGACCTTTCTAGTATTTAGCAAAATAAAGCCCTCTCAAGAATACAAGCCATACACACAAGCAGGAAGAGTAAGGTCAAATAAATTTGCTGACCAGAAATATTTCACTTCAGCAAGCATTTATACCTAATGTAAAACAACAAGGATAAGACTTGGAGAAGGTAGAACTAAGTCCAGAAATCCTCTCATCCAAGCAGATTAATTCCTCTGTGGAACGCATCAGATAGATATTTAAAAAACCAACTCGTTAAAGGATAGCAAATGACTTCTACTGAAAATATATAATATTTTATGCAAAAGTTGATTTGAATATCAAATTGCATAAAATTCACTGGTCTGCTGGAGTGGGGGACATGGGGAGAGCAAGGGAGAGGCATGAGGGGTGAGCTCCTGCTTTCTAACCAAACTCCAGAAGAATATTTGGAAAACAAGCACCAATCTCCTACTAAAAATAGCAAGGAAGGGACAAGCAAATATTTTAATACTCTCTGTCATCTCCTGTCTGCAAGTTACCACACCATTCCCTGCTCTGAATGTACACATTTTCAGTCACATCAAATTCTAGTTTATGGCTTAGGCGGGCAGGATCAACAACCTTGCGTTACAATAAGGCTTTCATTTGCATTGTTTCAAATAGGTCGTGACCACACTGTCTCTTCTCCCATAGTGAAGGCATCCATGCAAAATAACTGGTAATCTTTTCACAGATTGATTGCCTTTATAAGAAAAGATTTAAGCATAGCTAACAAGTACCTTTTTCATAACCGGCTTTAAAACAGATTACAACTACACAAGATGAAGAAATCTCAAATACGAGATCACAAATGAAATACCACATATCAATCTTTAAGTACACAAAGTAAAACTGCTTGTTCATCTTTCCTAGTTTCTTGAGCTGTAAAATGATTCAAATGCAGAACACTGGCAAAGCAGCTTAACTTTGTATATTGATTTTAACAAAAAATTGAAACAGAGCATCTGATAACTAATTTCATTATATTGCCATAGCATACATATGTTAACTTTTGCCAACACATAACATTATGGTGAACATTCAAAAAAAAAGTAGGTAAAACAAAACCTTTAAAAACTAACACTGAACTTATTGCAAGTGAAAGAGCATTTACCAAAATGAGCCACAAAACATGGCAGTGGCATAGCATCCCGCACATTTAGTGAAATTACTTCCATGTATGCTTGCAACAAGCTGCCAGCACCTGCTCTTTTTTTTTTTTCAGTAAATCTTTAATAGAAAATTTAAATTGAGTCAAGACAGTCTATGACATTAACTAAGTACTTACCATGACAATAATCCTGACCGTGAGAGTGTCCATGGCTATGGCCATGATCATGAGTGTGTCCATGGACATGTTTATGTTCATGGCTGTGACCATGACCTCCGTGACTGTGTCCATGGCTGAGACCACCATTAAATAGAGAATGACTGTGTTCATGCCCTATAAACAAATATCACAGTCAGAGTATACATTTAAGTATGCTTAGATTTGTTTCTAAGCTACTTGAAACCTATTAATTTTTTAGGTCATCTTAAGATATGGCTTTAAATAAGTTAAGAAAATAAACACAAGCTGTTTGTCATGTAAATCTATGCTGTGGAGCTGTATAAAATATATACCTGATTTGAGAAGTCAAGTGCTTCTATACATTCCCACTTCCGACACAAGTTGTGCTACACTTTTAGTACAATTTAAAAAATGTACATGTAATTAGATACAAGCACATTAAAAACAGCTATCATTCACACGTTAAAAATTCAAGCTTAAATTGCTGCTTAAAGACTGAAGACTAGTTTCTTCCACTAGTCTACAACAGTTTATATGTTAAGTTGAAAGAGATACCAATTAGCTTTGTAGGAAAAAAAAAACCAACAAAATATTTGCCACATACATTTAGGCAAATAAACTCTGCATTTAAATTCAAAAGACACTAAGCTGAGAAGCACATGAAGCTGAATCATGCCATACTTAAAATTTGGTTTAGACACCATTTTGTAAATTTTCCAGCCAAGATCTCCCTGAATTCCAGCTTAATTTTATTCAAAAGGCACGCTGCAAATCTCTTCTAATAAAGTGCAGAAGAGTGCATGTTCCAAAAAGCAGATTCTGGAGTTCCAGGTCTTTCAGTTAATGGATATTAACATGAGAAGTACAGTAGTGACATACTAGGGCTAGTGATAAAACGTAAGTGTCAATATTGCAACAAGTCACATACACATTCGGCTAGGATTGCCACTAAAAAGACATTAAAATTTAATACTGAGGTTCTCATTAGAGGATTATAAGGTCCTGGAACACAGGGTGCCACGAAACGAAACAGTACTGAAAATTATAGACATCCTACCAGAGCCATGTGAATGCCCATGACCTCCATGTTGAAAAACAAATATTCCTATAAGATTTACAATGAATCCTAGTATAGAAACAGGAAGAAGTCTCTCATGATGCACATCAGGAGGCTCAAGCGCTCTCTAAAAAAAAAAAAAAAAAAACCACCACCACACACAAACAACCACAACAAAAAAAACAAACCAAAACCCCCCAAAAAACAAACTAATGCAAATGCAGAGTTTTACAATCTCTCTACATTATTAAAAGGCACTGAAAAAAATGCTTAGATACACAAGCAAACAGGCATATATAAAGACATAATCAGAAATTACTCAGGACTTCTAGTTTTTGAGATGATAGAGAGATTAATTCTTACTGTCTGAAGTTGAAGTTTTATTATTAAAGCTGTGAAAGTATAGTAGAATATTCTGATAGTCTAGCTAACTTTTATCATGAGATTTCATTATGCTGTGGGATGTGGCTCAATACCATATGAAAACATTCGAGCTTTGTGTTGTATGTGGATTGCCCAAGTCATTCACACAACTTCCAAGAGTCTAGAATGACATTTCTTCCCTTCTCCTTAGAAGGGTGAGGGGATGAGGGGAATGAAATGAAGACTGAGAAAAATCACGGCATTTTAAAAAACTTCTAAAATCTAGATCGATTTTTTTTTTAAATTCTTTTTTACCCTACTTTCTTCGGAAGTTTTTTCCACTGATATATTATAGACCTAACACAATTTGCATCTGAAGCTAAGTGTTGAAGAGTGTAAATTATTATTGACAGGGGAGAGAAACATTCACCATCTGTCCACAGGCATGAAAGGTACAGGCAACAGCAAAACAATGAAATTTCAGCAGATATAAAATTTTGAAGTGACAGAGAGAAAAGAAGTCACCATCACAAGCAAAAGGAATACTTAGCATGGGAGTTAAGATCAGATCAACATTACCCCTGACCCTTCCTGTAGGAGTTTTTAATTCTAGTAAGTTTTGTTGCTGTTTCTAGATTTGGAGTTGTTTCCCCAAGTTTTTAGGCAATTTCAGCCCAGTTTGTACTGGTTTTGAAGTACATACAGGTTTATCGATGTAGAGGATATGTTCATGAGAGAACTGGTGAGAGCTTTATTAGTTAAAAAAACCCAACACTAGAATGTATTCAAAACTAGAAGTCTGAAGAAATTTATGGTGCATCTCCCATTAAAAAGTGACATCATTAATGCAAGCTGATCAGAATCAGTTATCAATTTTACTCTTAATCCTATGTCACTTCAGTGCAGACACCCTTGATGTCTAAATTTTAATCTTGAAATTATCACCTGAATCATCTTGTAGAAAAAATAATTCAAGAAAAGTGCCCTTGTGAATGTTAAAGCTATTACTACTTGCCATTGATATCAGATTTCAAGACTTGGAAGATAATGATCTTTCTATAAGAAGTTAGACCAACTTCTTCACAGAATGTACCTCCATTTCTTATGACTAACTTCTCTCCTCTGAATGAGTAATATTGGCTTTTCTTTCTTGGCCTCAGTTGCGCTTTAGCAATGAGAAGTAAAGATCTTTCTATGACATACTTAACTGGCTGAAACAAGGACAGGGTAAACCTCAGAATCTTTACACACAATGAAAATACACTAAGCAGCTAGTACAGATACATGGAAAAAGCTGGGTTTCTGTGTCACAAAATAGCAATTTCAGATGGCCCTATTCTCTGTTCAAATCACAGATTTTTAACCACTTATGAACATAATCTATTTCAAAAATTTTATCCCCATTAAATATGCTCTACAAATAGAAATGTAACAATTCATAGTGTGATTGGCTGCATAACATACCTCAACGCCTTCTGAAAAAATGAAGAACGCTGTAAAGATGAGGAATAAACCATTTACAAAACCAGCAAGTACTTCTGCTCGAACATACCTGCAAGAAACAAAAGAGCAATAGCAGATATTACCACTTCCATTTAAATACTGAAAATTAAAAGTGGAACTTAGACACTGGAGTACAATCTTCTAGTTCTCAAACAGTTGTATTACATAGAGACATGCTAAATGGAAAATGCAGTATATGAACTACAGATAAGTATATAAAATTCACTACATTGTATTTTGATAGAAATTACCTGATCTAGATCAGCCGTTACCTGATCTAGATGAAAGAAAACCTTCAATACATCAAAATCTTCCCACTGAAGAGCATCTCTACTGGAAGTTATGGTATAAATGTACATTTGAAAGCCACAAAGTAAGATAAGCATGCAAGATGTAATCAAAGTCTGCTGATGTAAAGTTCTGCTTAATATCAAACAGCCATACACTAATTTGCTCCCCCTATAGTAGGGGGATTTTTAGGGAAAGTTTTAAGTAGAAATCAATTATTTCAGCTACTAAATTTTTCCAATAAAAACCAGCCAGATTAGAATAACATGTAATTCCAATGTAGCAAACACCAAACTTAATAAATTGTGGCTGTTTTGTAATAAATGGAACACCAGCTGTTTAAATGCAGAGCAGTAATTAACACTGAACCTGCTTCCATTGCAATTAGTTCATGTTACAATCAATTCTTCCTAAATTGATTTCTAGGCACACTGGAGTTTCCACCTTAATTAAACAGTGCTTTAAGTTAAGTTTCAAACTACATGATTTAGGCAAGACAGCTGAAGCTAAACGCTGACATTCAGGTCAGTAATGCTATGGGGAATGCAACAACCCATGTTACAGCTCATTTGCTGTTAATTAATCAGTATCACCAATTAATAATATTGTATCACCAGTACTGTTTTATAGGGCACAACTGCACTCTGCAGTGGAACCAAATGCCCTTGAAACAGAACCAGCTGCAGCAGCTATATCCATGAAGGGCGGTATGGGATAATATACCTCAGCCTTGAGGATCTGTGTTAATGGTAGCCACAGCTGTTGAATCCCACTGGTTCTGAGAAGCATGGCTTATAATCTCAGGTGCAGCATCACTGAGACTTACAGCAGGAACAGAGTTAGCTCCTTTCAAAGAAGGCATGGGGCACCAGCAGTCTGAGATTCCCTGTAATGTGCTTCATTGCGCTGTGAGGACAAACCCATGATGCAGCTGCTCTCGCTCCACTCGTGCCATTAACGCGTGACAATGCAGGGCAACCTTCTGCTGTCTAACTTGTTTCCACTAGTATGATCACAGAGATCTTAGAAGTGATAAACCTGCTCCCCAAAAGCAATGCCTTCACGTTTCTACTATTTCTAGGGGGTATTAACTTAAAGGTTTATGTAACTCACCTTAAAAAACACACTTTCAACATAGCTTTTCCATGTTCTGCAAAAAGAGGTTTTGTTCATACAGTGAAAAATTACTACCTAGACATTTACTAAAATACATTAAGGTAACAGCCTGAAGTTTCTTACCCATATGAGAAAGCATCGTTTGACCTCCATTTTGAAATGACTGAAGCTGCTAATCCAGCCAATAGAGCAGTACAGTCAAAAAACATATGAAAAGAATCTGATATTAGACCTAAACTGGAAAAGAACAGGAAAAAAATGTTATGTTCCATATGCTACATGTTGACTATGAAAAAACAGTATTTAATCTTTTACACACCAGCAGAACACACTGCGAGTCTAAGTTTCAGCCATGGGGAGAAGGCCACACTAGATCACCAATACAAATGATGACAAAACTGCTTTTGTCAGCTTAGGGAAGACACTCTGGAAGAGCTTTTGGCAAAAAGTCTCCCTAGCATATGATTTTGGTGGTAGTGGAGGAGAGTGGTTTCCACTGACACAAACTGAAGCCTCTTGAGTAGATATACCCACAGCTCTATCTCTTGCCAATCTAATTCTAGCAGCAGGTATTTGTTCTTATATTTCAATTTATAGTTGAATATATTAGCAAATTTGGCTAGAAAAGTGTATACACACAAGTTGCATTTAGATACTAACCCCATATATATCTGTAAAAGTAGTATTTCACATCTAGTTCAAAAAAGAAAATTGTGTTTGAAGATACTGCTTTTCAGTATCTATTATATGCAGTGTGTATATACAGGTTAACTAGTACAACACCACTAAACTGTTCTGCTGAAGACTACCAGTACCACCATAGTGATGGCACTAAGCATTTGCAAAAGCGATGTTCTCAAATCCATTTTCAAACTTTATACTTTGGAAGAGTTTTCACACACAGGGAAAATTGATCAAAAATTCTTTAATGTCTGCAGTAAAAAACCCCAATGATGCAATCAAAACAAAGTTTCAGAAAATTTTGACAAACGTATGCCTGCGACAAAATATTTTAGGCCTGTAAAGACTGAAATCTTCTACTTATAGTTTTAGTTCATTATGTCAAACATTCCAAAAACTGCAAAGTCTACTTCAGCATAGCAGTTTTCCTCTCAAGCATCTTATTTCAGAACTAACACATCATCAGATGAGAATTTGTCTTTGCTATTCATTCACGCTGCAGCAACTTGACACTCTGAGTGGGTAAGCTGAAAGTAAGGTTTCAGTACAGACAGAATCCTAAGATCATATTCTCTTTTGCCTGAAATAAAAGCAGAACAGCAAGCAATATACTTGGTAAGTACTTTTGACTACTACATACCTTCCCTAAATATCCATCTTTTGTGTTTACATCTGTTTTTACATTTTACCTGAGCAGAGAAGCCAATCCCTGATGGCATGGCCAAAGCACCACACCTACATTCTTTTTAATTTATTGCTGCTCAGTCTCCAAATTTCCAAACACAAACCTTCAGCCAGGGTTGTAGCCTGAATCATAAACAGGTATAGAATTTATCCAAGATGCATCTAGTTCTTCTCATTATAACAGACTATGATGAGAGAGGGATAAGCAACTACATTACTTAAGAGCAAAAAGCAAAGTTTCCAGCATCCTGATCTCTACCAGGATCACACACATCCAAGGTTAACATACTGCGGTGAAGCTACACTAAATAAAAGGAAGCAACAGTAGTACTCCTGAGAGCACAGAGCTCCATCAATGATTTAAAAAAATAAAAAATGCAGACAAGAGTGCAAAGTTGCTATGGATGGCTGCTTCTTCATTTTGCCAAGTGTAAAGATAGCAGTCATTTGCTCCTTTTGCTGGTGATCACCATTACTCTTCTAGTTTGACTGGAACATAGCCACACAGAAATAAAAGCAAACAGATACCTGCTCCACCTGTGCTTTCAGCTGAATGAATCCAAGCTAATTCCAGTTCAAAAAGGACAGAATGGTATTAGAACGATGAGCCACTGCTTGTAAACCTTAACAGTCCTTAAATCTTTGCCTTATCAGCTGCAAGGCATTGACTAGAAGATGCCCTCTCCCCTTTGATCTAGAAGCTGAAGGAAGCAGAGGCTGAAAGACCACTTCTTAAACTGTTTCTTTCAATGACCAATGCACAACTACAATCTTGACTGATAAACACAGGAAAAGTTTAGCATGCAGTTTTACCCTACAAAGTTCAAACCAACTTAACTTAGTTCATGAGTTACCCAGTCAGTAGAACTCACATCAGTTTGTAGGCTGTACATAGATTGGATTTAACACCACACACAACAGTTGCCAAATTTTATTACAAATCATAAACAGGTTCTGTAAGTCTGCAAGGAAGTATGTGCATCAAAACACAAAAATTGTTTCATATTTGAAAAGACCTTTGATACAGAAGTACTGATGAGCATTTGTTCTTACAATTGTCCCAAAAGTTCCGTTTTCCCAATTTTTGGTTGTCTAAGAACAAGTACGTACACAACTCTGTTCTTGGAAACTGAAGAATAAAAAGCAATTACTGGTAGTAGTAGAGGACTAGAGGACAGTCACGTTTTCACACTTAAGTCAAATACAAAGTTTCATTAGCCAAAGTTGAAATTACTTCACATTAAGAAACCAAACCATTTCACAACCTGACTGAAATAAATTTCAAGATTAATCTGAAGTGTTTCAGATGAAACACTCAGCTGCTGAAGTGGGTTTGGAGGAGACAGAACATACGTTTGCTCTATATATTTACATATATACTTTAAGAACACATACAGACATATATATACATACATACAACTATAACACATTTAAGGCCGAGGATGATGGTATGATAAATTGTCCTTAGGTGCTTTAGCCACCAAAGCACAAAACAGATGAAGTAGTTCTGAACAAACTTCAAAAGACCACCAAAGGTTTTAGCTGCATGCCTATGAAGCAGCAGAATGGAATTCCCTATTGAATTCTTAAAGGGTGTAGGTAAACAGATTCCTCCTCCCCAAAACCAGGTGGCATCCCTAGGGAAACAGCTCATTTTACGTTTAGTCCTGAGCAGTAACGAAGATCCAGTGGGGAAAAACCCACAAAACACACCAAACATTCAGGTAGAAGACAATTAGGCTGACAGTAACCAGAAGTTTATAATGATTATGAAATGGAAGAAATAAGCATCACTAAACAGAGACAGCTAGTGGTTTCTGTGGTTTGGTGTATGGTTTGTTTGTTTATTTGTTTGTTTTTTAAAAGTCTCCTGGGAAAGAGAAGAGTATATAAGGACTGCTACTGAAACAAAATCCCATACTGGCTCTAGAACAAGAAATCATACAGCAAGTTCTCATAGCACTGTGCTGACACCTGCAAATCCCACAGAGGTGAGACTTGCCATAGGTACAGCACCAACACAGCTGTGCTGCTTTCAGGACCTAAGCTAACATCTCCAAGTAGCCAGAGGCACGTGGATTTATCAACAGGGGTCAGTACAGACTGAGTCTGCAACGCAATTCGCTACATGGCATAAACATGCTCTGTATTATGGGTACACCCGTAAGAGATCCAACTGCACAAACGATAGGAAGTCTAGTAAGAGGCCAATATGATTTCATCTGACGCTTCTTTTTAAATGACCTGTAAATCAAGAAGACCTTAAAAAACTAGGTGCAAAGTGATTACCACAGTAGACAACCAATCCAGTCAACCACTATCAACATATGATGTATGCAAGAACTTCCATTAGAACTGGAACACATCATCCAGAGTATCATCTGGTAGAAACCCTGTACTCAAACACATTGTTTCTAAATGAGGACGCTTCCACAGCTGATTTAGTAACACAAGTTTAACACCACATTACACAACTATGCACATAATAGTATTTTAAGACAGAACAGCCCAGGTAGCAGATTTCAACTTTAAACAAGCTGTCAGATAGCAAAATACCACATTCGGTTCTGTTGTCTGTGCTTCAATAACATCAACATAGCAGAGTATTTTTAAGAGGATCACACAAAACAGCTATGTGAATTCAGGAAACAACCTCCTTGGCAAACAAAAGCTAAGGAGAATGTAAAAAGTAAGAATTAAAAGAAAAGAAAAGAAATTAAAATTGAACACTTCTAGAACTTGCCAAGAAAAGTTTTGGGGGCTTTGATTTGGAAAGAAGAATATCCTAGTAAAACAACACAGCAACCTACTTAAATTTAAATGGATAAAAGTGTTATAGTTTACAGAACCACAATTTCAAAGAAAGTCCTTAGTCTGTGGAAGCCAAGGGAAGAATCATCTGAATAATCATGGCAGCCTGTTAGCTTTGCTATCTCACACTTACTGACATCATCAAGGAAACTAGAGAACAGAATTCAAGATCACGCTTCTAAAACTTGCAGCATCAGGCACTGGCCATACCCAAGACAGGCCACAGTGGAATAAAGAATTGCTCCAAGATGATACAGAAAATCCCCTTTACAAAGATTCTGCTTCTGCATCTCTCACGTGGCGAGCAAAGGAGCTGTGTTTTTCAAACTCGAGAAATAATTTTCCATATAGAGGGCTCCTTGTTTGCTTGTTATGTGTTTGTTCTTCCAAGGCATGAACCATCTGCTTTGAGTGAAGGCATTCCTCATCATATTCTCTGCTAGTCCTCTCTATTAAAGAGATACTTGCTAAGATACTGTTTTATTCTAGCCCAAAATTTAGACTTAATGTAAAGATACATAAAATTAGTGGCTTGAAATACAAACAAGAGGTCCAACTAATGACTATTGAGCAAACCCCAATTCTTAATCTCTATAATGAACAAAAATAAGTAAGAGTCTTCTCAAGTCCAGTAAGCCCAATTCTTCAGTGACAAATTTCTTGCAGGCGTCACTTCAGTTTCTCAGTTTAATTATCGCACAGGACTTTTTCTGGTATAGATTTCATTTCTGGTCACACTACCAAAAAAATTATTATGCTTAAAAGAAAGACATTGGAACAAACTCACATGAACATAAAGTTCTCTATACCTGAACCACTAAGAAAAATAATTGCATCTTCTGTGCTATTAAAAAAAAAAAATCTATACATGAATAGACAGACTATGCCTATCATAATAATCATCACACAATTGCAAAGTGAATCAACATGAAAGTCAAAACCAAGCACATCCAAGATGGTCAGCACACTGCCAAGATAGCCTGTGCCCAAGATACACTGTGTTCTTACTAGTGCAGGGGTAAGGATTTTACAGTATAGTTTGAGACGTTCAGAGCAACGTGATAAATAGCAAGATGCAACTCTTTCCAAATCTGCA